GTTGGTGGTGTGGGGAGGGGCTGTGATTCCCTTGGATGGGAACAAAGTTATGCAAAAGAGCATATGTACAACTGCCTGAAAGATGGACAGGTAGCTGCTGTGTCATAGACATCATTAAGCCTTCCTTTTTCCTATTGTCTGCCAAGACAGGTGAGCTACTATGGGAGATGAGATCTAGCCTAGAGTCCAGCCCTCGAATTGCTAAGTTTTGCTTGGAAGGCAGCATTAACGTCCTTAGCATACTCAGGCCAAGGTGACAGCACTGGCACTCTCAGAGCAGTTGGATTTCAGGAACTTCCCATCTTCTCAACCCACACAGGAAGGGACAGTCCCCTCAGTGGGTTAGAGAACCCACCTTCCCACACTCCAGAGTTGCTGGAGGGAAGGTTGAGGACCTCCTACCTCACAGTACTCTAAGGGCCAGCAACCCTAGGGACTCCAGCTTGAGGCTCTAAAGGGCTGTGATACAGCCTCTCTGCCTGCCAGCCCTGCCCCAGTGCAGCCTGTGGAGGGTAGAGGAGGGGAGCTATGTGGTCAAGGCACTGAGTCATTGAGGAACATGAGGGACCTGCCCCTTCTGGATATTTCTCCTGGGGCTGTCTGTCCTCCCCAGCCTATGTAATCTATAGTCTCAGTCAAGACCCAGGCCAGTTTCTGCAGGCACCGGAGGAGAAGGGAAACCAGTGAAGATTTCATTGCTATGTATCAGGCCAATGATGGCTGCTCAGTGATAGTGCTGCTTTGCTGCAAACACACGATTGCAACACTGACAAACGGCCACCAGGAAAAACCCCAAACCCACTGATCCCACAAAGAGGCGAGAAAAGGAAGGCTTCATGTTGAAGAAGGAGAAATAGAAATGTGTATGTGCCGGTTTGCCTCCTGACATTACTGTGGAGGCATTCACACGCCTGTCTATTTGACATTATTATGAGAGATCCCCAGACAGAAGAACTTAAGGTCAAGCTTTATAAAGATAACCAAGGACATCTTAAAGGAGACAGGCTTTGCGATCGTTGGAAGAGAGAAGCTGTGGATCTTGCATTCATGCTTTTGGATGAAGATGACATTAGAAACTGCACGTTGCAGGTGGAGGTGGCCGAGTTTCAATAGAATAGGAAATATGAGGCTTCCGGAAGGAAGTGCAGGAACTATGGGAAGATGCTGTCTCTGCAGCAGAAGTGGCCACACTACGGACGTCCAATGCCACTGGTGAGTTGTCCTCATCAAATACGTTTCATTCTGTGGATTTTGTGGATGGCCAGAGAAGACCTTCAGGTACACTTAAGTTTAGATAAACTCGGAGGCTCATTCTTTTTGACACCCCAGCTGCAGGAGCAGCTGCTCATTGTATTCAGACCTTTGATGGATGGTGCTTTGGATGATATGGTTGAGCAGACTCCAAGGCTGAGGACAGGCGGCTTCCTTCAGTGTCCCTGAGACCAACACACTCAGTCCTCCAATTCCACAGAGGGGGAATTTGGGTGGTGCTGGGGGCATTGAGGAAGAAGGCCCCTGGGCCCAGGCAGCAGTGCTGTCCTCAATGGTGATGACAAAGAGGAGGAGAAGGGAAAAGAGGAGGATATGATGATGAAGATGTTTAATCCCTTCAACTTGGTTTTAGGGAAGTTCGTTCATCTGCATGTGACCGTGTGTCAGGGTAATTGTTAGTAGTGTTATATGAACAGGTACCCAGTGGTACAATGCCATCAGACTAAAAATTTTTTAAGTTTTAAATTTTCATTATAACTGGCAATTAATGATTGTATTTATTTATTTGAGAAGGTTTTATTCAGTCACTGAAGGCTGGAGTCCAGTGGTGTGATTTCAGATCCCTGCAACCTTCACCTCCCAGTCCCAAGGGATTCTTTCACCACAGCCTCCCGAGTACCTGGGAATGCAGTGGTGCACCGCCACACCTGGCTCATTTGTGTGTGTGTGTGTGTGTGTGTGTGTGTGTATTTTTTGTAGAGATAGGGTTTCGTCATGTTGCCCAAGCTGGTCTCAAACTCCTGAAGTCAAGCAATCTGGCGTCCCAAAGTACTGGGATTACAGGTGAGAGCCATCACACCTGGCTATTTTAAAAAGAGTCTTGCTCTGTCATCCAGGCTGGAGTGAGGTGACATAGTCATGGCTTACTGCAGCCTTGAACTCCTGGGCTCAAGTGAGCCTCTTGAGCTTCAGCCTCCTTAGTACTTCAGCCTGCTTCAGCCTCCTGAGTAGCTGGAATTACAGGTGTGTGCCACCATGCCTAGCTAATGTATTTTTTTATTTTTTGTAGAGATGGGGGTCTCGCTATATTGCCCAGGCTGGTCTTGAACTCCTGGACTCAAGCAGTTGTTCCATCTCAGCCTCCCAAAGTGCTGGGATTACAGGCATGATCCATGGCGCCCAGTGATTTTTAAACATTTTAAATAAATAAATTTTTAAATGTGTCACTTAACAAAGGAGATAGCATTCTGAGAAATTCATAATTAGGTGATTTCACACTTACACAAACCTAGATGGCACAGCCTACTACACACCCAGGTTTTATGGTACAGCCTTGGCTGTAACCTGTAGAGATTGCTGTGCTGAATACTGTAGGCAACTGTGACACAGTTATAGGTAATTGTGTATCTAAACACAGCAAATGTGCAGTAAAAACACAGTATTAGTCCGTTTGCAGGGGGCTCATGCCTGTAATCTCAGCACTTGGGGAAGCTGAGGTGGGTGGACTGCTTGAGACCAGGAGTTCAAGACCAGCCTGGGCAACATAATGAGATCCTGTGTCTAAAACAATTAACATAGCCAGTGTGGTGATATGTGCCTGTAGTCCTAGCTACTAGGGAGGCTGAGGCAGGAGGATCACTTGAGCCCAGTGAGCTATGATCATGCCACTGCACCCAGGTGGGGCAACAGAGTGAAACCTCATCTATAAACACAATAAATAAATCTTAAAATAAATATTTTTTAGTGAATAAAATTAAATATGGTATTATAATCTTAGGGGACAACTGTCGTCCATGCAGCCCATTACTGATCGAAACATCATCATGCAACACGTAGCTATATATGTTCATTGGCTGTCCAACTAAAACGTCATAGTCCTAATGTAAATTTAAAAAAACAGAAGACAAAGTAGAAAAGTAAGAAACAGGTCCAAACATAGCAATAAAACAATAGCTATGAATAGGTTAAATTTTCCTATGAAAAAATAGAAACTCTTGGCCGGGTACGGTGGCTCACGCCTGTAATCCCAGCACTTTGGGAGGCTGAGGTGGGCAGATCATGAGGTCAGGAGTTCGAGACCAGCCTGGTCATCATGGCGAAACCCTGTCTCTACTGAAAATACAAAAATTAGCTGGTCATGGTGGCAGGTACCTGCAATCCCAGCTACTTGGGAGGCTGAGGCAGGAGAATAGCTTGAACCTGGGAGGCAGAGGTTGCAGTGAGCTGAGATCGTGCCATTGCACTCCAGTCTGAGTGACAAGAGCAAGACTCTATCTCAATACAAAAAAAAAAAAAAAAGGAAAGAAAAAATAGAAACTCTCATGTTGAGTTATAAAAACTAGCAAATCCAGCTCTGTGCTCAGAGAAATATCAGAAAATAAAATTACATGAAGCTTGAATATATAGAGATGGAACACTTCTAGACAAATATTAAAGAAAATCTGGGCCAGGCGTAGTGGCTCACGCCTGTAATCCTAGCACTTTGAGAGGCTGAGGTGGGAGAATTACTTGAGACAAGGGGTTTGAGACCAGCCTGGGCAACACGGTGAGACTCTGTCTCTTTAAAAAAGAAACAAAAAGAAGAAAAGAAAAGAAAATCTCAGTGAATGGTGGTCAGAATAGAAATCAACATAACAAGCTTATTATTGAAATGTTTGATCTGGCTTTATACAGTTTTGAAGACACTCGTTCATGTACTTCATTAAATATTTCTGGTTTGCTAAAAATAGAATTATCCTTCGACCCAGCAATCCCATTACCGAGTATGTAACCAAAGGAGAAAAAAATCATTCTGCCAAAAGGTGCCTGCACCTGTATGTTCATCACAGCACTATTTACAGTAGCAATGACATGGAATCAACCCAGGTGCTCATCGACAGTAGACTGGATAAAGAAAGTGGTACATAGACACCGTGGAATACTATCCAGCCATAAAAAAAACAAAACAAAACATGAAATCCTGTCCTTTGCAGCAACGTGGATGCAGCTGGAGGCCATTATCCTAAATTAATTAACACAGAAACAAAACCAAATTTCCCATGTTCTGATGTATAAGTGGGAACTAAACATTGGGCACACGCGTGGGAAGTAGAAAAGTTCCTTTTCAAAGTTTCCTTTCTTGTTAAAGAATAAATTTGCAAATAACTCTTTGTTAAGCCCTATCCCATATAGCTGTTAGACATGTCATGCTTACAGGCATGTAGTTTATTCTATGTGCTTGTACTTTAACCAAAATATCTGTGCTCACAGGCACGTCCCAGCTCGCAGCCTATGCCCCTTAACTGTTTAAAAAAGTTTTAAGTTATTAGCCAATTGGGTTTTAGTTTAAATTGTGAGGTCTGGCTCCAACCAACAGAGATCAGACACAGCAGTAAGGGCAACCCCAAATGCATAAGGGATGAGTATGTCTGCTTTTCCTTTGTTCACTGTATTCTCCTGGCAAGACAGCTATAGAGGGTACCCTTCCTGCAGTGCAGGAAGTAAAAATTGCTTTGCTGAGAGATCCGTTGTCTCAGTGCTAATTTTTCTTTGCGGCACCCAGCATTTGTTTCCAACAGGGGCGTAAAGATGGGATCAATAGACACTGGAAATCCCAAAGTGGGAATGAAGAGAGGAAAGGAAGTATTGAAAAACTATCTATTGGGAACTATGCTCACTATTTAGACAATGAGATCAATAGAAGCCCAACCCCCAGCACCACACAATATACCCCTGAAACAATACTGCCCATTTACTCCTTACAGCTAAAATTAACAACAACAACAAGCAAGAAGAAAGAAACAAGTATCTCCAGGTAGTTACGTTGTAATTTTATTTCATGACCGCACCATCTTCTCTCTGCCTGCACCTGGGTCTCCTGGTGTGCTGCTTACTTGATGTCCACGTGCCACAGAGTTATTGCCCAAAGTACCAGGGGACTGTGCAGGGGATGGGCTCCTCCTTCCAGATGGTCTGCAGCCTCTGGGCCCACGCAGCCACCATCCCCTTTCTTTCTTCTTCGGATGCAATTTCAGGAGCAAAATTGATCTGAGGAGCAAGGACTTTAAATCCACAGAAGTGTAATGTGCCATGCTAAAGCCACGAGGGAAGGAAAGAACTCATGAGAAACTTCACCTGTTACATACCATTTGGTTAAATGATTTAAGGGGAGAAATGGTGTGAAACAGACCTTCAAAAAATCATGAAACCACCTTAATGTCATGAGGCAATTGAAAGCTAAACCTCCCTGTAGCTTTAGGATGCAAGCCTTGCGTAAGCGTGGTGAAGAACCTAGGGCTCCAGGAATTTCCAAACTCTATTTTTATAATTGCAATTAACCTGCAATCTTTGCAACGGATTCAGACACCAAACATTATAGTTCTGCTTGACTGGGCAAATTAAGGCACATTCACATTATAGCTTATTCCAGAATGTGGTTATTCCAGCTGTAACGTGTACCACGGAAGTTTGTTCAAGATACCTTTTAAATGAAAACAGCAACAAATTTTAAGCAGTATTTATGTTATACCGTTTATGTAAAAAAGCGGTAAACATAATAAGCCTAATAATAAAAATTATGTACGTGAGAAAATATATGGGCCCTAAGAAAACAAATCAAATTATTTAAAGTGATTCTCTCTGAGGTGTGTATGTTTTGCGGGGGGGCGGAATTAAAGGGACTTTCTCTTTTATATTTTATATGTCTCATTTTTTTTTTTTTGCTATAAAACATACTTCTGCAAACTGAAAAAAATATAAAATTTTTTTCAAAAGCAAGAAGAATTTGAACTTGGCTAATGACACGTAAGACACCAGTTGGCCTGTGAAGAAGCAAGGTCAGGCTTGTAAATGATCATTTCCTTCAGTAGACTATCAGTAATTGATGGGAATCACATACTTTCTCCTTTCAAAGAGGACTACTTTTTCTCCTAGAAATATCACACTCAACCCCCTGAGTTACTTCCTTTAAAACCCACACCCATACCCGGGCCTGCCCTGTCAGGTGGGAAGTGAGAGGCCCACACGCCACTTTCTACATTTTTTTTTCTCAGACAACATGGCTTTATTTATTTATTATTTTATTTACTTATTTGTTTATTTTTCAGGTGAATTCTCACTCTGTTGCCCAGGCTGGAGTGCAGTGGCACAGTCTCGGCTCACTGCAACCTCTGTCTCCCGGGTTCAAGCGATTCTCCTGCCTCAGCCTCCCCAGTAGCTGGGACTACAGGCGTGTGCCACCATACTGGCTGATTTTAGTATTTTTAGGAGAGACAGGGTTTCGCCATGTTGGCCAGGCTGGTCTTGAACTCCTGACCTCAGGTGATCTGCCCACCTTGGCCTCCCAAAGTGCTGGGATTACAGGTGTGAGCCACTGCACCTGGCCTCAGACAACATGACTTTATTACAGGAAACTAAGAAAAAATTAGGATTAGGAGGAGAAAACAGCAAATGGCCTGTGTAAAAAACCAATATTCAGCAATCAATAGCTTTCACCAATTCAAAGAACTTTTAGAAGATGTAATTGAAGACAAAATCCTATTTATAATAGCAAATAACAACAAAAGCAAGGGATGAACGTAGCCAATGTGCACTGCCTATAGGAATAAAAAAGCTTCGTGTTTTGAAAGAACATAATAGGATTAATTTCTCTGATATATGAAGAGTGCTGACAAATAGAATATTAAAAAATACCAACAACCCAATAGGACATCGGCAACACATGCACACCTAAAGAGAGCTCATGGGAAAGGGGCAATGCGTGTATTTTCCCAGCAAGCTCCCTACCCCTCAAGAATGAGCTCTTCTCCTGCCTTGACAACCCCCCTCCCCCGCTTAAACAAACTGGAAGGACAGTTGCCCCTTAGGTTTCTGGGTTCCCTGGAGTCCCTGACCTAGAGTCTGCTCCCCACTCCCTCGCTCTGCCACCCCTCACCAGGGGTTCCTTTGCCAGACACCCCAGCATATTGGAACTGCTCTGCCCACCACCTTCCCTTTGGCAGGCAGCCACTACTCGTCCCTAATCTCTCTGGCCCAGGGGCACTCACACAGGCAGCAAGGGGTCCCCTGGGGAAGCAGGCCTGGGCGGGGCCTGGGTAATGGGACGTGGGTGTGGACTGGCTCCCATAGGCCCCTTGTATGGGGCCTGGGGCACCACTTGCCAGCATCTAAGGGCAGTGTGGCCTCACCAAGCACTGCCAGAGCCATGTGGGCAGCCTCCACCTGCACCCATCACAACATATGCAGGGCCGCCTCTGCTGACCAAGAGCAGACATCAGGATAAGCAGATTTGGTTTAGCTTCCACCCAAACTGTATCGAAAGCTGTAATGAGGGCACGTTTTCCCTATTGGTCAAGCTTTTCAAATTTGTCAAGTAAAACACTGAAAAGAGGCAAAATGTTATAGTTTTCTGTATCCAGGGGAGTCAAAATGGCGTGGGGTATCATGCTTACATCCCATCTCACCTCACCCCTCGGGGAGGTGAGAGCATGTATGTGTGCATGTGTGTGCACATGTGTGCATGTTCTGACAACCAAGGGAGCCACTTGCAGCTGGTCTACCTGGAGTGGCCACAGGAAGTATCGAAAGTCTCCACTGACTCCTGTCTTCGTGTACATCTCAGCCGTGCCTCCTGTGGTTACGGAAAGGAGCGCTAGTTTACCCTGCAGGGGAGAAAGCAGATGCATTTGTGTGAACTCCAGAAGAGGACAGAAATGCTGACGTGCCTCCAGTACACCGGCTCAGCACAGCCAGCAGGGAACATGTGTGTGGGCATCCTCCAGGGATGGACAAATGCAACCCTCCCATTCACAGGTAATGACGACATCGCAACAGGAGGAGGACACAATCCAAGTGAATGTCCCATCCACAGGTGACAATGACATCCCAATAGGAGGAGGAGACAATCCAAGTGAATGTCCCATCCACAGTGACAATGACATCCCAACAGGAGGAGACAATACAAGTGAATGTCCCATCCACAGTGACAATGCCATCCCAACAGGAGGAGGAGACAAGCCAAGTGAATAGAGCACATAAGCTCTAACATGCCCAGGTTGCTGGTGGAAACCAGGTTTCCATGACGCCATGTGTGACAATATGGCGGAGGCACTGACTGTAGGACAAGGTTTCCAGCACACAGGGCCACTCAGTAAGTGGTAGCACCATTCATGGTCCAAGACAGATCTTGGTTACTCAGTGTGTTTCCCTTACATGCATTTATTTTCTGAGGATTTTAGAATCCAAAAGTCATTCCTTTTTTTTGTTTTGTTTTTTGAGATGGAGTCTCACTCTGTCACCCAGGCTGGAGTGCAATGAAGCGATCTTGGTTCACTGCAAACTCCACCTCCCAGGTTCAAGTGAGTCACCTGCCTCAGCCTCCCAAGTACCTGGGACTACAGGCGCCTGTCACCACGCCTAGCTAATTTTTGTATTTTTAGTCAAGATGGGGTTTCACCATGTTGGCCAGGCTGGTCTTGAACTCCTGACCTCAGGTGATCCGCCTGCCTTGGCCTCCAAAGTGCTTGGATTACAGGCATGAGCCACC